CAATTGCCGCGTATCGTGCGAATCGTTTTTTTTTTATTTGACCATTTTTGCCAGCTCATAAAAAGTTGTTTGTTCTGCTGCTTCTGTCGCCACTTGTTGACATCATTTTTGTTTTTACATATTTCGTGCTACTCATTGTTCTTGGGATACTTTTAGATTGTTTTGTATAGCATTCGATAATGAATGTTTTTATAGCGTGTTTGTTTGTTGTTTTTTATGTGACCTCCATCTTTTGTTCTTCATTTTTTAATAGGATTTGGAATCGAAAAATCCGTTTTTAATAGTAAATTTCTTATTTCGTAACGGCCGGTCGAAAGAAATAAAACTGTTCTAAGAAAACAAACTTTTAAAAACAAAGCGATTTTGATATATGTATGTATGTACATAAATAACTTACGATAAATATAGCGATATCGATAAAAATATCGATAATCATATGCATATGTTTGTAGATAACGATAACAATACTGCTAAAAATCGATAAATATATATATAAATGTTAAGATATGTATTTATATCGATAACGATAAATATATGTAATTATATCAATAACTGTAACGAAAACATGTTTCGATAACAAGACTGTGTAAAAATCGATAAATATGTCGAGGTTATCGATTTTTTATACATCTTTGAATGCATCTCGGAATGTAATATGAAATTAATTTCCGACTACTCTCTCCCAGGTTTCCAGACAAAGCGCCTAAAGCCCTTGGGATCGCGCTTATCGCCAGTTTGATAGAGATTTCGAAAGTGAGGCCATAGTGGTAAAGCCGAGCTAATCATCTTCGATTGTACCCTGCCGAGTATGCATTTTATATAGAAAGTTAAAAAATTGTGTTACCCTTTAACTTTTACCATTTTGAGCAGGAATACCGAATGTTTTTTTTTACTTGTTATTTTACGAGCATAAATAAAAGCAGATTTAAAATTAAAACAATCTTCTGGACTAAAAAAGGTTTTAAAGAAATCCCAAAAGGTACTAACAAAATCCTGAAGGGTTAAAGTTCTCAAAAATTCCCAAAATGTCTTGACGAATTACTTAAAAGTGTCGAAAAAATGACGATTGCCGATTTATGAAAGCAAACCCACCAAAATTCCGAAAAAAATCTCGAAAAAAAACTGTAAAATATTTTAAAAAGTCACGTCCTTGAAAAAAACAGCAGATTCCTAAGAGACCCGACAAACTTCAAAAAAATCACGAAATACTCCAGAAAGCTCCTAAAAGTACAGAAGAGTCTTGAAAGAAAACCACGCTAAATAAAAAAGAACGTTAAAAAAATCGAAAAGTGCCTAAAAGTCCCAAAGGATCTAAGAAAAATCGACAAAAAACTCAAAAATATCTCCATGTACCGATAAATGGAAAACGAAAAAAATACAGAAATGTCTCGAACAAACTCCACAAGTTCTCGAAGTGTATAATCCTAAGAACCCCATAAATAGTCCGGACAATCCCGAAAAAATCCTGCAGTTCAAGAGGTTAATTAACAAACAAAATTTTGAATCTTCGTCGTGAAAGACGCATAAACTCGTAGGAGAAAAACATTGCTTGTTTTTTAACCGACTTCAAAAAAGGAGGAGGTTATCAATTCGACGGAATATTTTTTTTTTTTTTATGTACATATGTTAACGCATAAGTTTGGACCAAGTGTACGAGTTAACCTAAGTAGTTTGTTGGATGTCAAAGAGCTCAGGTGTTCGTCTCTCAACACATCGCGTCTGCTCGATGAGAGCAAAATCCTAGATTGAAGGCAGCCCCTCGATGTCCCCCCAGTCATTGCTAAGCGAGGTATTCACCCATTTTTTGATAATGGCTTCGATGCCCGAAGCTTGGAGTGCTATAACTGGTTACGCCACGAATACCTCGTCTGAGGCTAATCTGGCCAAATAGTCAGATGTCTCGTTACCAGGTACACCCGATTGACCTGGAACCCAGAGTTATGGTTATGGTTGCCAACATAATTTAGTCGAGAAATCACGCCCCAAAAAAGACGTATAAAGATCACAAAGAGTAATTATCAGAAGATATTTTGCTTATCTTAAATTACTGGTTAGTTATTCTAGTTGGGTGTGAATAATTTTAAAGTTCGATTTATGTTCATATTTTAACATATTCAAAAATTGTTCCTATTTTTCCTTAATTTTCAGACTTACATGCCAGTTCTTCGCTAGTTGGTTTTATTGTTGAGCTGATTGCCAACTTGGCTTTGCTATTCGGTGTCCTGTGGGTATGTAAAGATTAACACCCATATCCATAAGAAATAAATCTATTTTATTTTTTATGAATAAATAACGGCATAAAGATATATGTACATTTGGTTATTTAAATATACATATGTATTTATGCTCGTCTAAAAAATATGTATGCATGTATAAGAATCATTTCTAATACCATCTTCTTAAATTTTCGCAGAGCAATGCCTGGCTGGTTTTGGTTTGGCTTGTGGCCGCCGTGATGTTTTTCATTCATTGGCCCTTCGCTGTCTTGGGTGTTATATTCAATTATGGCGGTTATCGTTACACCGCGTTCTTCGACAATGTTTTCCTCATACTCTTGGAATATATTTTAGTTTTGGGTAAATACATACGTTTATATTTTCTATGTTATATAATGAAAATACTAACGTTACTTAGAATTTCAAACGTTATTCCAAAGTTAGAGAATAAATTAACACCCGAATTCATAAAAAATAAAGAAGACTTTAACACGGCTTTATACATCGAAGATTTTAATGAAAATGTCACTTTATAGAGCTCTTTAAATCTATTTTATTTTTCATGAATAAGGCCATAAAACTTTATTTATTTATTTAGATGATTTTATCGTAATTTTTTTCTATTTTTCAGTGGTTTTCGGCTACTGCACATACCTGGTCTATTCCTATTTCCATCAATTGCGAAACACTCAGTCTGCTACACCACATGGCGTTGTAGTTTAATTATGTACTTACTATAAGGGACTATACACATCTATACAATATGAGTACAAATATAAAAACGAAAACCAAAATATGTGTGTACATCGTAACGTTGGCACCCACCCCAATGAAGTAAGAAACATTTTGTACGCTGATTGTAACGCTTTCGAAGGTTGTTACAAAATTAAGTTGCATTTTTAACATTTATTTTTTTGTATGACTACATTTGCATTTGCATACTATAAAACACACTTACCTACATACATTTGTTTGTACCCAATGTACATACGTAGCTATGTATGGATGCCATTAAGAGTTTATTTAATTTGAATAAAAAAAAAATAAAAATAAAAGAAAAAATTGCTGGACTTTACATTGTTCAAGGTTGCTCGAAAACAGGAAAGTTTTATAATAAAAATGTGTTTTACGAACAAAACTTCTCCCCTTTTTAAATATACATATATGTTTAGTATTTAGAAATTAAACTTTTTTCTTGTTTTATTAAAATTTTTGGTTCATTGCTCGTATATGGCAGCGCAAGTCAAAACAAAAAAATGTGGGCGCGCCACACAGAAACATCTGCGATGACGGCATTTTCGGCCAGCAGCTTTGTCATCGCTGCCATTAAAACGGCTTATCTCAGAGCAACAACAATAAATTATAGTCAATTTACTAAATATGTATTTAAATGCAAGTTGTGCCTTGAAAATTACTCTGAGTTTTCTCGCTGGCACTCTATGCTGATGCATATGAGATCATATGCATTCGGACTAATGCAACAACAACAAGTACATGCGTGATTATGTATTTAAATTTGCTTTGATTTTGCAAGAACTTCCAATGAACCAAAATAGAAGCAGACAGCTTCAAAACGAAATAAGCTTGAATAGTGATATCGATTGATATGGGTATATCGATGTCGATATATGTTTATATCGATGACCGTAGTAATTATATTCACATCGCTAACGGTAATAATGATGTTATCATTATCGGTAAACGGGATAGAAATTCCAGCCATTACTAAAAAAAAATCATAAAATTTAACCATATCGATGGGAATTTCTATAAATATGTAAATCGATCAAAATTACAACAACCAATTTTTCCGATAAATGTATCGATATATTTTTCGATAAATTTATCAAATCGAAATTTCTATAAATGTGTTTATCGATCAAAATTAAAATAAATTTGTTCGATAAATTTATCGCTTCACACATCGAAAGTAATATCGATAAAAAATATCGGTTTGACGATGACTATCGATATAACGATCATATGCATATCGATATATTTTCTATGTAACTGTATTGTATTTTTAATTTTTCCAAAAAACGCGTTCTAGAACATTTTAAAATTGATGTCTTTTATTGCACTCTGCCATGTTTAACCTGTAGAATACTTCCGAATCTTCCGTGTCAAGAAACTTTGTTTTCAACCCATAGTTTTTTGAATTGGAGAAAGGTTGTTGACTGATGGTGCTAATCCTTGTAAGACCAAGTTGTTATTGTGGACTTTATGGAGCGAGAGTTCTTGCCCAGATATAAACTTCGGTCGTTCCCAATTACATAGGCCCGACTGTCAAGGGATCGGTAAGATGAAGTTCGTCTGACCCGCGTTACTCTGGCCCAGTTACAGTCCGGATATTGCAGTCTGTCCATACTCGACCCCAATGCCCCTAATGAGTGTGCGGTACAGTGTCTTTTTAAGTACAGTGTCTTTTTAAGATAGGCGTCAGAACAAGTATTTAATGATAATAATCAAAACATTATGGATGGGAGAAATCCGCGAAGCATCTGTAGACCGATAATATCGGTATCGTAATTTTGAATACAATTCCTGGAAGCGATCAAATAAAATGAACCCGGTATTCGTCAGTATTTCGCTTGATACATATGACTACTTTATGAACCGATTTGTCATGACACAAAATTTTAACAGCATCAGCTAAGAAAACAACTCAAAAGAGAGACACAATAAAAAGCGAATAAAAACAAAACAAAATTTTCACAGGAAATTCCACTGGGAGCAAAGGAAAAAACACACAACTCGATTAGGACGTCATCGCCCAGCCATAAAATGGAGTTGTCCGCCGATAAGGTGTTCGAACGTGAAAAGAAACATGACATGATGTTGGACTTGACCTTGGGTGATCAGAAGGCCGATAATCTTTTTGCTGGCAGTAAGTATTCGACAATTATTTGAGCAAAAATTACGTAAAACTGCGCTGGTGGAATGCACAACTAAAAGACAACTTTTATAATTGCTACACAGCGGACCAAACACCAACGCCCACACGTCTAATACGCAATTGCGAGGAGGTCGGACTCTTTGAAGATTTACGACATGTGAATCCCTTCGAGGAAACCTTTCGACGTGCCTGCGAACAAAACCATGGGCAGACACCTATGCGTCCACTAGACTCTGTGGAGGCAAACGCCGATGAGGATTCGCTGCACACACCACAAGTGTATCCGCCACTGGACGCCATACAAAGTAGTGAAATGCTCACCAAGCCATTGGACAGTCCCTCCTCAGCTACTGTGACGCTGGATGTTCCCGTTGTCGATGAGTTACTCAATGCAGCAGCGGACGCCTACAAAATCGGCACATCGCGTCAGAATTCAAACACCTCTACGACATCTTCAGGAGGTTATGGCAAAATTTACAAATATCGAGCAATTGCTGAAAAGCCCTCAGCAACAGGGGTGGCGAGCGGATCTCCGCGCATACCATACATACATCTGCCAACAGCGGCCATACAGTTGGTGCAGCCGCAGCTGATAACGCTGACTTTCCCCGAGAGCAATGGCAACAAAAACTTGGCTGCAAACTTGGAAGCCAAGCCATTAGGTACTGTCGCTAACAATGCAATACCAATACAAACTGTTAAGCCTTTCATCATGCCGAAGTTGGCAGTCGCGGCGACAGCTAGCGCAACTGCATCTTCAGCTAGCGGTACAACAACAACGACAACTGCATCTCCAGCTACCGATACAACAACAACAACAACAACAAAGCTAAAAAAGACATCGACTGCAACGCAGTTGCCGCCGCTAAACACAAAAGCTCACAGCACCACCGCCAGTACCTCCACTGCCAAAACGGCAACAGCCCAAAGTCAGCTAACGACCCTGCAGCCACCGCATGAACCAAGCAGCGCCAGCCTTACGCCCACCTCACAACTGCCCATTAAAGAGCGTCTCAAGGCAATTCTGAGTCTTGGCAATAAAACGCACACGGCAGCACCACTGCAACCTACCAAAAGCAGTAGTCGCCGAGTGCGTGGCCAAGCAGTCGCCGCGGGTAAATACGATGAAGATTCTATGACGCGCAGGCGTGCAGCGGCCACACGTTATCGCATCAAAATGCGTAACGAACACAAGGATCTGCGCAGGCGCAACTGCGAACTACAGGCGGAAAACGATAAGTTACGCACACACATCAAACGACTAGAGCAGGAGTTGGCTAAAAGTCAGCAGCAGCAGCAGCAACAACAAATTATATCAACATCAAATGGTTAGTGGTTAAATATTGTTGTCCAGCGAATTGTGTTCATTACATGAATTTTTATTAATGTTTTGGTTTATGTATTTGTAGGCAACTTACAAACTGTGCCGACACAAGTACAAATCCCGCCCTCAACGCTGCATCTGGTAATGAATATACCGACAATGGTTGTGCCAGCTGGGGGTCAACCTTCCTTGATACAGCCAATCACTTATCGGGTGGAGAAGAAATAAAGCATGCCGCAGATAGCCGGAGCTTACCCAGATCGCAGTGAGATAATTTTATGTAGAAGTCAAACAAATTTATAGATAGTGTATTGGCACACAGTGCGTTAATTATAAAAAGTTTCTTATTTGTAGGCATTAGACATTATGTTTGATTGATTTAAAATTTACTAAAAACTTACTATAAAACTAATAATGTTTAAATTATTTATGAAAAAAATGTATTTGTTTTGATGGAAAATTAAACGACGACAAAAGAAATGCTAAGAGGGCTGTTCTAATGTGCAAGTTTGAATTTCGGTAGGGGCGTACGCTTATTATGAGATCAATGTCTGGAAGCGGGTTACTTATATTCATGCTAAATGCAACTCAGTGTCTTCGCATGATTTTAAACGCTAACTACTATTAGCAATTTTAAGATCTAAAGTAAAAGATATTTTAAACTACACACTACTTAAACCAAGCATGCTCAAACCTTTTATGTCCGCTAAATATTGCTTATCAATTAGACTTAAGTATATCATTAAATTCTCTTTGTATTTCTTCGATTCTTTCCTCAATTGTATCAAGTTGAGAATTTTGGGATGAGCTGCGTGTGCTTGCAGCAGGTTTGTGAAGATTTGAAATCTGTGAGCAAAAACATAGAGTATTCTTATTAACCCACTTTCTTAAAAAAAAAAAGATACTTGCATTACCTCATTTAACTGCGCTTTCAGCAAACGCCTTTCATTGCACAATTTTTGTATGTCACCATGATACTTAGTGCGCAGTGAGCATGATCGTGGTGCGCTCAAACATTTTTGTACGTATAACTCTACGTCTTGATTGCGCACCTCATCCTCGGCCATAAGTAAGTCAGCATCATTGCGTGTGCGCTGAAATTAGAATTTACACCAATTAAACCTATCTTATGTGTGTTCAATAATACATTACACACTTCACATTCTATACTTTGCATTAGCAACTCCAGATCCTTTTCCATTTGTAACGTACGCTGACGTTGCTCAGACTCTTGCACTTGGGCCGCTACTTCAGCTTTACGATTGCGTATTTCTTTTTGATAGAGCATTAGCACTTTGCGCTGATAAGCTAAACGCTCTTCCTCACGCTTAAGTGAGTCGCGATAGAGCTTTTCCATTCCTAAAATAAGAAAAAAAAGAAAAACTTTATGTTATGAAAAACCGGGTAGTTTACATTTTTGTCCAGTTCAGCGCTCACTTTCCACCTGCTTTGCATGTTCCTCATTACGCAACCCACTCTGTAGGCGCTCCATCAACTTCATTTCTTCTAATTCCAATTCTCGTATGCGCGCGTCAATACTCCGTTGCTCCCTTTGCACAGCGGCTAGATCTTCCTCGTGTTTCACCAACCATTCACGTGGATAATTCAAGAATTTCGGATAGACGTTCTTTGGTATGCTTTGAAACTCCTTCATATAACGTTTCGGATGCAACGTTTGTGGGCATTTCTGCATTAAATAATAGGCTTTTTTCAGCACTATTTCCACATCCACCGGATAAGAGTCGCGAAAGAATGACAAAATCGTTGGCTTATCGGGCAGTCGCACAATCACCTCGCGCTGTACAATGTTGTATGCCACGGCTAAGAAAATTGGAAAGTATGGCGGCCGTACCATAATGTTGTCCCAAGCGCAAAGCCATTGCGATGTGCTAAGCACATCTGAGAAAGCTGTAGTAATCATCGGCCAGATATAGTCTTCCGGTCCTACTTGCATGCTTGCATAGAATTTGCATAGCTGGGGCGCATTTAGTTGTAGGATATTTTCGCATAAGCCCAAATAATTTTTTGGCTCCAGTGGATGCAACTCAAAGCACAATTGAAATTGATTCGTTATGAGCGTGGCACAAATTTCAAAAACTACAAGTGGATTGCGTGGTATTAGCTTCACAAATGGAAATATTAGTTCTGGCACAAATTTGCTATGAGCAAAAACTGGGCACCAACGTGCTAAGCAGGACCACACACGCACCAACGCACGCTTCATTGTTTCATTACGTATCTGTATGTGTTGGGCGCGTTGTTTAACTATTGGTGGTATGCCCAACTTCAAAAGGTGATTAAACTCACGGCGATTGTTGGGCAATTGTAACAGCGCGCACCACATCATTACGCGATATTTGCGCGGAAACCAACGATATTCGTCTAGTATAGGTAAGAGCCGGTCGCGGGTAAGTAATTTCCTAACATTATTGTTTAGAATGCAATCATCATCTTCTAGGGCTGCATTAGGATTTCCCGAAGCGCCAATCGCCACTGGCTTATTTTGGTTGAAAGCAGACTTTAAAATTTGTAGGCATTCTTGTTGCGACTTTAAAGAATTGTATAGTTTACAAATGGACCAAATGTTAAGTTCGCCACTCCTATTAAGCACCGTTAGTAGTTTTCCATCATGAGATATTGTCAGCTTTTGTCCCTTATCCGCTTGGATTCTTATTTTGTTATCTTTATTTATGCAATTCAAAATTACAACCTGCCCAGGATCTGTAGTTACGCCACAGATTAGTATCTCCTTTGAATGCGGCAGGAAAACGCATTCGCTTATAACAATATCGTTCAAACGACAAATGTGCTGAATCTCAAAAGTAATGGTATTGATCAATAACAAATATCTGTCCAGTGTGGAAAGGCACAATAAGTTATTGAAAGGATGGCAGCAAAAGGCAATAATCAAACCATCGGCATAATTTAGTTCCTGACAATTAACATTAAAATCACCGCCGACATTTGTGAAATCATCATACAGCACAATATCTGCTGACAAAGCTGCCGCACCTTCTATGTTAAGCTTACGATCGCGCATATTTATGGGATGTATGACACGTAACCTATTTAAAGTAACACTTGACCATATATAAACGGTATTATTGGTGAAGCAGGTAAAGATTTGCTCAGTACAAGGCAAATAACATGCAAATTTTAAGATGATATTCTCATCATCGAAGGTTAGGCGATGTGTTAGAATGAATTTGCTCAAATTAACAAGCAATGCTTGGCAACCTGCCTGTACCAGCACAAAACGCTGAGGTTGTAATGGTTGCCCTACAAAAGATATGGCTTTTATAGTTTCATTGGAGATTGCTATCGTTTTTATCACAGCTGATTTCTCTGGAAGAAAATGTTAATGTTCATAAATATTTTATGATCCGTTTACAGTATTTCAACTTACCTATATCTAGCAACAATAACTGGCCTAGCTTTGTGCCTACGAGATATAGATTACTACGTTGTATCCAAGGAGTTATGACCGTAACTCTAAGTATAACTTCAATCAGTTGCCAAAAGCGTTTATTTATGAAGTCAAATGCAAAAATATTACCACTGTAAGTAATCATCGAGCAATATTAAACTAAACGTTTAAGATTAGGAGCAGTTTTACCTACCGCCGATCGATGGCCACCATGAAGGTGCAGTGCTCACTGAAGCAACATGCAGCCATACGAATCCGTGTAATTCGATTACCCTCTTGAATTGTGTGATGTATAGTCAGTATATTTCTGTAAACAAATATAAATTTATACATTTTCACCATTGTCTAAAATCTTACTTACCCATTGCGAGTTTCCTTGAATGAGAACGCATATTTGCGCACGGGTTGTCCGCCACCCAACTGAAGGCTGGATGTAGGTTCCGCTTCTTCTTCGCTATCATCTTCAATTGCGGCTCCAGCTGCACCAGCGCTTGCACTTGCTTTTGCGGCTTTGTCCTTCTCAGTCGCTGTGGCAGCGACTTCTTTATCACCACTGGCATCATCAGACGCGGCTTCACTTGATGCTTCGTTATTATTTGTTGGCTCTGGTACATCAGCCATATTATTTATTCAATTATCGAATTTATTAAATGGTTGTATTTAATTCAGAGGCGTAAAAGATTTACACACGAATTCGCGGTCACTTTTAAAACTTTGTACAGAAAAATTCAACTGAAACAAGTGCTGCCAAATTTCGACGAAAAGGAGAAAATGAACAGCTGATGGCGCGTAAGACTGTGTTTATACACGGAAATTTTTGCCAGCGCGATTTTTCACATTCCATTTTGGTGTTGCTGGTTTCATTTACACACGGCGATTTTTTGTATGAAATTGTTGTTGCCAGCTGTGAACCGTTTACACAATTTACACAGACGAACGAGAGCACCAACGAGAGCGTCAACAAAAATCGCCCTGTGTAAATGAGCACTAAGACGAGGAAAAAATGCATTTCCTTGGAGACATTTATTTAGATTTGTTGCCGTTTTGTTTTAGCAAGCTCAAGGTATTTGAAACTAGCGATCCCGGAGTCCGGACTAGACAGAAATAGTCAGATTTTACTGGAAATCGATCCCGTACTCGGTTCTCCGACTGTTGAGAGGACAAAAAAGAGAGTTACCAGTTTTAGTCCGAAGATTTTTGCTGGTGAATTCTGTTAAATGTGTTAAACGATCAGCTGTAGTGTGTTTGGCAACCAAATTGTAAATAAAAGAAAAGTGCACTCTGCTAATTTACGTTTATAAGTATTTAATTACTTGTTCAGGTGGATTTTAATGAATTTGAAAGTATTTTTGGTTATTTACATGTGTGAACTGACTGTGTTTACATACAAAATAAGCAAAAATTTACAACCAAAATTACGAGGTTATGTTGAAGTTGACAGGCGTTACCATTTTTTACTAGAAAGCGATCCCGTAGTTTTCATTGTTATTCTCTCGCTCTGAGCGAATTTTCATTTTTTGACAGTTTTACTTGTTTTAGTCCGAGAAATACGGGATTGCACCTAAAATATCACCTATTTTATTTTCGATGATGTTGGAAATATATACCAGGGTCCGAGCATAAAAGGTATGGTCGAAACTTGATGTCGTTCTCGCAGTTTTGTTTCCAAGCACACTTTAAACCCCAAACCGAAATTTATTTATTTAGCGTTCTCAACGGGAATTATATAAGAACAAAACGTTATCAAAGCCAACAAAATGCGCGAGATAATTATGCAAATTAAATGAACGAAAGACTTAAGACAAAAACATTTCTTCCAAAGAAAATTAAAAATTGTTCCGAAATTGGACAGTTCACCGTAATGATAAGCGATCTGGCAGTTGAAGTGATCCAGCTTTCCGTTAGCTTAAAATTAACCATCAGGGTTCTCACTGAAGTGATTTTTCATCTCAAAACCCAGACGCCCCTCTCATTCTTAACGTTAAGTCCTCAAATCTTTTTCCCTAGTTTTGTTCTCTAATATGACGTTCCCCAGACTTTTTATCCTCTATAAAAACATTCACGATACTTTAGTTTTCATTGGAAACGTTCCCGAAAGTTTCTATCTCTTGTTGTTCTTCTTGAGAGTTTTATTTTCACTTTGTTCTTTATTAGGTGCGTTTGACAAGTCAAACATTTGTAATAGTTTTTCCAAATTTTTACTGGATGGCGTTCGATAACGACAAAAAATTATCCAACACACAAAAATTGAGAGAGCAAGCATTCATTTTGATGCAAGAGAAGCGTTCATTTTGTACTGTCAAAATTTTAGTCAGCAAAAATTATCCAACACGAAAACATATGATCACAAAATATATGGTTGCAATTTTTGTAAACAAACAAAATTGCATTTTCCGAGTTTTGGTATTTATATGCTTTTTGGCTGCCTGCTATGTGACTTTATGATAACGCCAACTAGTTTTTACTTCTAGAAATGTTCCTGGCGAACATTGAACGTTCACTATCCTTTTTTCTTCTATGGAGGCAACATGAATTTAAGTTTGTTTACAAATAAAACATAAACAAAGTCAGCTGGTGTGTCTTCTTCTTCCGGTTTTTGCAAGTAATGGCTAATTTCCTGTTCGTTTACTTTTTTGCTTTTTCATCTCTTTGGGAGAGAATTTTCGCTTACTCTCTTGATTTTGATTGTTGGCTGGTGTTGGCTAATTTTGTTATCGAACGCAACTATTGAAACGCTCCGAAAGTTTTGTTATCATTTTGTTCCCGTTCAAACTGCTATCAATGGGTGCAATCCCGTATTCCTCGGACTCGGACTAGTAAAGCTGTCAAAAAATAAAAATTCGCTCAGAGCGAGAGAGTAACATTGAAAAGTACGGGATCTCTTTCTAGTAAAAAATGGTAACTTCTGTCAACTTCAACATAACCTCCAAATTTTGGTTGTAAATTTTTGCTTATTTTATACGAAAACACACTCGGCTCACACATATAAATAACAAAAAATACTTTCAAATTGTTAGAATCCACTTAAACAATTAAATTAATTAAATACTTTTCAACATGCATTAGCAGAGTGCACTTTTATTTTGTTTACAATTTGGTTGCCAAACACACTACAGCTGATCGTTTGACACATTTACCAGAACTTTCCAGCAAAAAATTCTCGGACTAAAACTGGTAACTTCTGCCAGAGAGAGAACCGAATTTACTCTCTTTTTTGTCCTCTCAATAGTCAGAGAACCGAGTACGGGATCGATTTCCAGTAAACTATTTCTGACTAGTCCGGACTCGTACGGGATCGCAACTAATACTTTTGTTCCCGTTTAGTTCTTTTGCGAGAACCACGAGCGAATGTAGGCAAGGACATACTAACGATGCCCCCAACTAACAATCGCGCTAATTCCTCCCACAATCTGCTCCGGCAAAAGTTCTCCATAGTATTTCTTCCAACACTACTTTTGGCCCAAAATTAAAAAATCAAAGGCCCTGTAGCCCACCACAAAAAAAAAACAAATGGCTAATACAATTAATAGGTCAAATCCAGAAAGACTCACCACATTTACTGGAACTTTTTTTACCCAATTTTGTTGATAAAAATGTATTAGTGGGTGGTAAAAATTGCTATTGACTTCAAGACATCCTTGCCAGATTCGTTGAAATCAATATACATACATATTTGCTTTTAGAATATTAAACGCATTTATTTGCATTGCATTTATACACTTCAAAAATAACAGTTTGGGTGTTTTATATTTTAATCTTTTTTTTTTGTGATTTACAGCTACTAATAAATACATTTGTATGTACATATTTATTTAGGTAATATTTATCTGAGAATAGGTTACACATTACAAGGATACAAGTAAATATGTATGTTTGTATTGAATGATGAGCTGAATGTTGAATGGGGAGAAGGAACATACACACACTTCACGGAAATTTCATATAAATAAATAATTAAAAAATAAAAATAAATAAAAAACTGCGAATGGAAAAGACTTCAACAAATCATACAAACATACATATATATCGGCGGTACTTCGGCAAAACCTCATATGTCTAATCACTCTTAAACAACACTCTCCAACAAAAAAAAATTCTTGTACTAATAAAAAATAATTTTAAAAAACTTTTTGAATTCTACATAAGGTAACTTCTCTAAAATTGACAACTTCTTAAAAGACCCTGATCTGCTTCGTCGTATCTAATCTCGTCCCATTCACCAGTCAGCCGAAAGTCTCTGCTGCCAGCGCTGTGTTTTATGGTTTCTATAATAATTGTTATGATTATGTGAGCCTTTTATAAAAATATAAATAAATAAAAACTTTTTGATTTGAATATTAACGCTTTAGTACTTTAATCCCTATTTTGAATAAATTTTACGAAATACAAGATAGTTGTGATTTCTGGGATAGGAGGTTTTGCCAAGTAAAGTCGATATGTATGTATGTATGTATTTCTAAAAAATTTAGCTTTCTTTCCAATTTCCACTGTGTTTCGTTGTAATATTTAAAACGCGATGTGGTGGGGTGTGGTGGTATATGAAATGAGGAATGAGATTGGTGATTCTCTTCCTCACTGCCAACTGGGTGGATCTACGGCACAATGCCAGCTACCACAACGCCGCCAAGCGTACCGCTATTTACCCAAACCAACCCACATGTAATTGGGATCGATGAATTGTGCGCCATGATAACCACGCGGATTCATTGCCACCAGCGAGCGTATCTTCTGAGAGGGTCGATATGTGCGTATGGCGTGCAGAAATTCTAGAGAGAATACATTTTTATTTTATTGGTTTAAATTATAAGCGTCAAATTATTGGCGTCAATCTATCAACCTGCATTAGCCTCATGTTCGCCCGCTATCTTCTCATGCAGCTGCCGTAGAGGATGTTGTCCCTCGAGTAGCTTAGCCTCATCAAGCCCCAGCGATTGCGATTTCTCATTGTAGCGTACATTTTTCGAGAGATCCGTAAAAAAGTTGCCCAAGTGTGTCATAGCGCCTAAAATGAAATAGGAATCAAGTATATACACACAAGCACATTTTAGATGCCGCTTTTTAGTGGGTGTTCGTTCACTCACCAGCGCTAATAGAGGGTAGAAAACTACGTTCGCCATTGCCGGTTTTGTTACGCTTAAATGCCAGCTTCTTCGCCTCGGCTAGTTCTTGCTCGCGATCGTGCTGATACGCTGTGTAGGGTATGTAGGCATAGTCCAGCCGCCGAGTGCGCGGCGCGTAAAAAATGCGTTTAGAACGTGGCGGCTGTTCGGTGTTAAATCGTTCGCTAGCTGGTTCCACATCGATTTTATAGTCATAATCCACAGCTGTATCCATTGATGACGTATCCTGTTTATCTCCAACCTCCTCCGCTGACTTTGTATCGGCTACGTCATTATCGCTCACATCCGTTGCTTGCGAATGCTTCTCTTCCTCACCCGGCATAATTTCGGGCATCTTCTTATATACGAAGATATCTGCGTCATGTCTATGTAAGTCGTATGCGTGTGGCGTTTGTTGTTGGCCTTGTAGATATGTTTGTGGCCACTGTGGCTGCTTTGTTGCTGCCATTTGTTGTTCTTTTTGCCTTACTTGCCACTGTGGCTGTTGCTTTCGCCCAAATAACCAACTGCCTAGCCATTGCAATTGCCTTTGTCGCCTTGCCTCAGCAGGAAGTGCAACATCGTTTGACTGCTCGAAATCTCGCAACGCCATTTCGTCAGCGATTGCTTTGTTACCAAATAAAGCATTTCCATTTCCTTCCATTGATTTTTCATTGCCAAATATACGCGAATCAATTGCAAAATTGTCAAAGTATTGGCAGGGCCAATGTTGTTGTGGTGGGGGGTAGAAGCGCGGCTGTGGGTCAGGTGGCCATTTAGCTGCCACTGCAAAGGAAAGTTTGATGAAAAGAGAAAGTAATTAGGAAAGTAACAGTAGGCGTGGATGGATGTACAAATTAAAAACAATAGTAGTATGTCTGTTACTGCTCAAATATGTAGGCACAAATGCAGTAACTTAAGTAATATTAACCAACAGGATATGGGGCTCTGTTGACTTCTTTTGGCCAATAAACCTGAGGTTTACCTTATTTTTACTAAGAGTACGTAAGTGACAAGAATTCGAACTGTAGGATGTTACATGTAGTAACGGCAACTCTCATCCTTCAAATACATTACTTTAAGGGCACTGCGCGTACAGCTTCATTTAATCCTTTCCGATAAATAAATCTGTATCGAAAACCTTCCATCTTTGTTTCCACATCTTACAAAAAGGCAGACACGATGAAAGATTATACTGGCCTCCAACCAGACCCACCTACCGACGTGTATTTCGACCCGCTGAATCCGTATCTGAGGTCCGATTGACATCACTTTTTTTTTGTGAGCCGGTGTTATTGATCGTCGAGAGAGAACCCTGATAAACATATCCAAAGTAAAGATTGTTGGCTAGAGTTACACTTCGCTTAATCTGTGGGCTAAGGAAGTTCTTCCCATGGTACAATAAAAACAGGTAGAAGCCAAATTGACATAAAACCTACA